ACCCCATGGGTGCCACACGGAGGTTTGGGGTGCAGGGAGCTTCAGATGGTGAGCCTGGCCTGATCTGTGGGGCAGGAGGGGTCAGTGGGGTGGGAGAGGTCAGGGCGGTCACCAGGAGAAGGTTGGGGTCAGCCTTGACCCATTGACCACACCCAGATCCATGGGGCAGGAGGGGTCAGGGGCAGAGCTATGGGGCAGGAGAGGTCAGTGGGGTGGGAGAGGTCAGGGCGGTCACCAGGAGAAGGTTGGGGTCAGCCTTGACCCATTGACCCCACCCAGATCCATGGGGCAGGAGAGGAGCTATGGGGCAGGAGAGGTCAGTGGGGTGGGAGGGGTCAGGGGGGTCACCTCGAGGAGGTTGGGGTCAGCCTTGACCCATTGACCCCACCCAGATCTGTGGGGCAGGAGAAGACAATGGGGGAGCTGTGGGGCAGGAGAGGTCAAGGGGGGCACCTGGAGGAGCTTGGGGTCAGCCTTGACCTACTGACCCCACACTGAGTTATGGGGCAGTAGAAGGTCAAGGTGGTCACTGTGGACAGATTATGGCCAGCTTTGACCCCTTGACCAAGGCGGTCACTCAACCTTGACCCCTTGACCAATGTGGTCACTCAACCTTGACCCCTTGACCAAGGCGGTCACTCAACCTTGACCCCTTGCCCAAGGCGGTACCCAGATCCGTGGGGCAGGAGGGGTCAGTGGGGTGGGAGGGGTCAGGGCGGTCACCAGGAGAAGGTTGGGGTCAGCCTTGACCCATTGACCCCACCCAGATCCGTGGGGCAGGAGGGGTCAGTGGGGTGGGAGGGGTCAGGGCGGTCACCAGGAGAAGGTTGGGGTCAGCCTTGACCCATTGACCCCACCCAGATCCGTGGGGCAGGAGGGGTCAGTGGGGTGGGAGGGGTCAGGGCGGTCACCAGGAGAAGGTTGGGGTCAGCCTTGACCCATTGACCCCACCCAGATCCGTGGGGCAGGAGGGGTCAGTGGGGTGGGAGGGGTCAGGGCGGTCACCAGGAGAAGGTTGGGGTCAGCCTTGACCCATTGACCCCACCCAGATCCGTGGGGCAGGAGGGGTCAGTGGGGTGGGAGAGGTCAGGGCGGTCACCAGGAGAAGGTTGGGGTCAGCCTTGACCCATTGACCCCACCCAGATCTGTGGGGCAGGAGAAGACAATGGGGGAGCTGTGGGGCAGGAGAGGTCAAGGGGGGCACCTGGAGGAGCTTGGGGTCAGCCTTGACCTACTGACCCCACACTGAGTTATGGGGCAGTAGAAGGTCAAGGTGGTCACTGTGGACAGATTATGGCCAGCTTTGACCCCTTGACCAAGGCGGTCACTCAACCTTGATCCCTTGACCAGTGTGGTCACTCAACCTTGACCCCTTGACCAAGGCGGTCACTCAACCTTGATCCCTTGACCAGTGTGGTCACTCAACCTTGACCCCTTGACCGAGGCGGTCACTCGACCTTGACCCCTTGACCAGTGTGGTCACTCAACCTTGACCCCTTGACCAAGGCGGTCACTCAACCTTGACCCCTTGACCAGTGTGGTCACTCGACCTTGACCCCTTGACCAAGGCAGTCACTCAGCTTTGACCCCTTGACCAGTGTAGCAGGACAAGGCCAAGGTGGTCACCGAGGACAGGTTGTGGTCACCCTTGACCCCCTGACCCACCCAGAGCTGTGGGTCACCAGATGGCCAAAGTGCCCCTTGTGGTCAGCCTTGACCAACTCCCAGACCCATGGTCGAAGTGACCCTTGGAGACCCCTATGGTCAGTTTTGACCCACTGACCCATCCAGACCCGTGGTCAAAGTGACCACTGGAGACCTTTGTGGTCAGCCTTGACCCCACTGACCCCTACGGGTCACCAGAAGCTCCCAGTGGCCGCACTGTCCACTCTGATCCCCTGGCCGGTGCGGCTGACCGCCGGGTGACCCCGTGACCCCCGGGCAGGTCGGTGGCCGAGGCGCTGAAGATGGGGACGCCGGTGGAGCCCGAGTACTTCGAGGAGGTGACGCTGTACTTCAGCGACATCGTGGGCTTCACCACCATCTCGGCCATGAGCGAGCCCATCGAGGTGGTGGACCTCCTCAACGACCTCTACACCCTCTTCGACGCCATCATCGGCTCCCACGACGTCTACAAGGTGACCAGGGCCACGTGGTCACGCTGGTCACTCGGTCATGGGTGACCGCCTCAGGATGGGGGTTGGGGTCAGTGGTGGTGGCTACAAGGTGACCATGTCAATGGTGACCATGGTCACGGTGGTCACTCGGTCATGGGTGGTCACCTCAGGTTGGGGGTTGGGGTCAGTGGTGGTGGCTACAAGATGGTGGCCATGGTCAAGGAACCCCATGGCCATGCTCAAGGTGGCCCCATGGACCTCTTGGAGGTGACCTCATGGCCATGGTTGAGGTGACCCTATGGACCTCTAGGGTGACCCCATGGCCATGGTCAAGGTGTCCCCATGGACCTCTAGAGGTGACCTCATGGCCATGGTCAAGGTGTCCCCATGGCCATGGTCAAGGTGACATCATGGCCATGGTCAAGGTGACCCCATAGCCATGCTCAGGGTGTCCCCATGGCCATGGTCATGGTGGCCTCATGGCCATGGTCAAGGTGGTCCCAAGGTGGTCCAAGCCACGCCCTTGCCATTGGCCACCAAGGGCGGACACGCCCACCGCACAAAGACGCTGGCGTCCACCCGAGCTCTCAGGCTCTGCGGGCGTGTCCCGGTGGGCGTGCCCATGCCCTGACCCGCCCCCGGTGCCCCCCCACCCCCGGCCAGGTGGAGACCATCGGCGACGCCTACATGGTGGCCTCGGGGCTGCCCAAGCGCAACGGCAACCGGCACGCCGGCGAGATCGCCAACATGTCCCTGGACATCCTCAGCTCCGTCGGCACCTTCAAGATGCGCCACATGCCCGAGGTGCCCGTGCGCATCCGCATCGGGCTGCACTCCGGTACGGCCCCGCCCCGCGGCCCCGGCCACGCCCCCAAGGCGCCCCGGCCACGCCCCCTGGGCTGGGCAAAGGTTGGGTGATGGCGCCTTGGCCAACGGGCAATGGGTGGTGTTGGGTGGGGCCTGGTGGTTGTGAGGTGGTGGCCACGCCCATTGGACACGCCCAGCTCGTGACTGCTCAGTGGCCACACCCCTTCTTGGCCACGCCCAACGTGGCCAATGCTTGATGTGGTCGTGACGCATTGGAGCCATTTGGGCCACTCCCCTTCTTGGACACGCCCCAAAGACCACACCCACTGTGGCCACACCCCTCTATGATCACACTATCATTGGCCACACCCCTCTGTGATCACACTCTCTTTGGCCACACCCATCGATGGCCACACCCACTTCACACCCTCATTGTCCACACCCATTTGCCACACTCATCTATGACCACACCCTCATTGGCCACACCCATCTATGACCACACCCATCTATGACCACACCCTCATTGGCCACACCCGTCTATGGCCACACCCAATTTGGCCACGCCCCGTTGGCCACACCCAACTCCTTGGCCAACCCTCTATGCTCATCACCTGTTGACCCAACCCCTTCCATTACCCCACCCCTTTGTGACCCCGCCCCTTTGTGGCCCCGCCCCTTTGTGACCACGCCCCCGTGTGGCCCCGCCCCCAGGGCCGTGCGTGGCGGGCGTGGTGGGGCTGACGATGCCCCGGTACTGCCTCTTCGGGGACACCGTCAACACCGCGTCACGCATGGAGTCCACCGGGCTGCGTGAGTGACACCGATGGGGACAGGGGACACTGATGGGGACATGGGGACAGGGATGGGGACAGGGGACAGGGGACACCGTTAACACCGTGTCATGCATGGAGTGCACCGGGCTGCGTGAGTGACACCGATGGGGACATGGGGACACCGATGGGGACATGGCTGGGGACAGGGGACACTGATGGGGACATGGGGACAGGGATGGGGACACGGGGACATGGGGACAGGGGACAGTGTCAACACGGTGTCACGCATGGAGTGCACTGTGCTGCGTGAGTGACAGGGACAGGGACAGGGGACACCGATGGGGACATGGGGACAGGGATGGGGACAGGGATGGGGACATGGGACACTGATGGGGACATGGGGACAGAGATGGGGACAGGGGACACAGGACAGCGTCAACACCACGTCACGCATGGAGTCCACCGGGCTGCGTGAGTGACAGGGATGGGGACACGGGGACATGGGACAGAGATGGGGACAGGGGACACGGGACACTGTTAACACCGTGTCATGCATGGAGTCCACTGGGCTGCGTGAGTGACAGGGACAGGGGACACCGATGGGGACATGGGGACATGGGGACATGGCTGGGGACATGGGGACAGGGATGGGGACACTGAGATAGGGGCATGGCTGGGGACAGGGGACACTGATGGGGACATGGGACAGAGATGGGGACAGGGACAGGGGACACGGGACAGTGTCAACACCGCGTCACGCATGGAGTGCACCGGGCTGCGTGAGTGACAGGGATGGGGACATGGGGACAGGGGACAGGGGACAGGGATGGGGACACTGATGGGGGCAAGGGACAGAGGACACGGGACAGTGTCAACACCGCGTCACGCATGGAGTGCACCGGGCTGTGTGAGTGACACCGATGGGGACACTGATGGGGACACGGGGACAGGGGACAGAGATGGGGACAGGGGGACAGGGACAGGGGACAGGGGACACTGAGACACGGGGACACATGGGGCACGGCGTGCACGGTCAGGGGACAGGGACACGGGGGGGACACACAGGGAGCACCGCATGCACGGTCAGGGGACAGGGACAGGGGACAGGGGACACAGGGACACGGGGACACATGGGGCACGGCGTGCACGGTCAGGGGACAGGGACACAGGGACACGGGGACAGGGGACGGGGACAGGGGACACAGGGGGGACACACAGGGAGCACGGCGTGCACGGTCAGGGGACACCGGGGATAGGGGACAGGGGACATGGGGGGGACACAGAGAATGGGGTGTGGGAGTTTGTTTTTTTTTTTTTTTTTTTTTTTTTTTATTTTTTGGGGGTTTTTTTTTTTTTTTTTTTTTTTTTTTTTGTGTTTTTGCACACTGGGGGGGCTGTGGGGTGCCCAGGTGTGGCCCAGGTGTGTCTAAGGCTGTCCAGGTGTGTCCCAGCTGTGCCCAGGTGTGGCCCATGTGTGTCTAGGGGTATCCAGGTGTGTCCCAGCTGTGCCCATGTGTGTCTAGGGCTGTCCAGGTGTGTCCCAGCTGTGCCCAGGTGTGGCCCATGTGTGTCTAGGGGTATCCAGGTGTGTCCCAGCTGTGCCCAGGTGTGTCCCAGGTGTGTCTAGGGGTATCCAGGTGTCTCGAGGGCTGTCCAGGTGTGTCCCAACTGTGCCTAGGAGTCCCCAGGTGTGTCTAGGGGTATCCAGCTGTGTCCCAGGTGTGTCCCAGCTGTCCCCAGGCGTGCCCAGGTGTGTCCCAGGTGTGCCCAGATGTCTCCAGGTGTGTCCCAGCTGTCCCCAGAGGTGCCCAGGTGTGTCCCAGGTGTATCCAGGTGTGCTCAGCTATCCCTAGGTGTGCCCAGGTGTGTCCCAGGTGTGTCTAGGGATGTCCAAGTGTGTCCCAGCTGTGCCCAGGTGTGTCTAGGGCTGTCCAGGGGTGTCCCAGCTGTCCCCAGGTGTGTCCCAGCTGTGTCCAGGTGTGTCCCAGGTTTGTCTAGGGCTGTCCAAGTGTGTACCAGGTGTGTCCTAGCTGTCCCCAGGTGTGCCCAGGTGAATCCAGGTGTGCTCAGCTATCCCCAGGTGTGCCCAGGTGTGCCCCACATGTGTCCCAGGTGTGCCCCACATGTGTCCCGGGGTGCCCAGCTGTGTCCCAGGCATCCCCATCTGTGCCCCAGTTGTTCCCAGGTGTGTCAGCTGTGCTCAGGTATGTCCCAGCTGTGCCCCAGGGGTACCCAGCTGTCCCCAGGTGTGCCCAGCTGTGCCCAGGTGTGTTCCAGTGTGCCCCAGGGGTGCCCAGGTGTGTCAACTGTGCTCAGGTATGTCCCAGGTATGTCCCAGCTGTGCCCAGCTGTGCCCCAGGTGTACCCAGCTGTCCCCAGGTATGTCCCAGGTGTGTCCCAGGCATCCCCAGGTGTGCCCAGTTGTCCCACGTGTGCCCAGGTGTGCTCAGATGTCCCCCCGGTGTGTCCCAGGTGTGCCCACATGTGTCGCAGTGTGCCCAGATGTATCCGAGGTGTGTCCCAGCTGTCCCCAGCTGTGCCTCAGGTGCCCCACGTGTGCTCAGATGTCCCCCAGGTGTGCTCAGATGTCCCTCAGGTGCCCCAGGTGTGCTCAGATGTCCCCCAGGTGCCCCAGGTGTGCTCAGATGTCCCCCAGGTGTGCCCAGGTGTGCTCAGATGTCCCCCAGCTGTGCCCAGGTGTGCTCAGATGTCCCCCAGGTGTGCTCAGATGTCCCTCAGCTGTGCCCAGGTGTGCTCAGATGTCCCTCAGGTGCTCCAGGTGTGCTCAGATGTCCCTCAGCTGTGCCCATGTGCATCTCAGCTGTTCCCAGGGGTGTCCAGATGTGTCCCAGCTGTGCCTCAGGTGTCTCAGTGTGTCCAGGTGTGTCCCAGGTATGCTTCAGATGTCCAGGTGTGCCCCAGGTGTGCCCCAGCTGTTCCCAGGGGTGTCCAGCTGTGGCCCAGCTGCTCCCAGGTACATCTCTAGCTGTGCCCAGGTGTGCCCCACGTGTGCCCAGCTGTCCCCAGGTATCCCCAGGTGTGCCCCAGCTATGCCCAGATGTCCCCAGCTGTGCCCAGTTGTATCACACTGTGTGCCCAGGTGTCCCCAGCTGTGTCCTGGCTGTCCCCAGGTGTGTCCCGGCTGTCCCCAGCTGTCCCCAGCTGTCCCAGGTGTGTCCCCAGCCATGTCCCAGCTGTCCCCAGGTGTCCCCCAGGTGTCCCCAGGTGTGTCCCCAGCTGTCTCCAGCTGTCCCAGGTGTGTCCCAGGTGTGTCCCAGGTGTGTCCCCAACTGTCTCCAGCTGTCCCAGCTGTCCCAGGTGTGTCCTGGCTGTCCCAGGTGTCCCCAGCTGTCCCCAGCTGTCCCCAGCTGTCCCCAGCTGTCCCAGGTGTGTCCCAGCTGTCCCCAGCTGTCCCAGCTGTCCCCAGGTGTCCCCGGTGTCCCCGGTGTCCCCAGGTGTGTCCCAGCTGTCTCAGCTGTCCCCAAGTGTCCCCAGCTGTCCCCAGCTGTCCCAGGTGTGTCCCAGCTGTCCCCAGCTGTCCCAGCTGTCCCCAGGTGTGTCCCAGCTGTCCCCGGTGTCCCCAGCTGTCCCAGCTGTCCCCAGGTGTCCCCGGTGTCCCCGGTGTCCCCAGGTGTGTCCCAGCTGTCCCCAGGTGTGTCCCCAGTTGTCCCAGCTGTCCCAGGTGTGTCCCAGGTGTCCCCGGTGTCCCCAGGTGTCCCCGGTGTCCCCACCTCTCCGTTCATGGCCTGCATGGCGTCGCTGGCGTGCTCGGGGTTGCTGAAGGTGACGAAGCCGAAGCCCCGCGAGCGCTGGGTCTCCCGGTCCTTCACCACCACCACTGGCACGGGCAGGGCGTCACCCACAGGGCCCCGAAGTAACCCAAAACAGCCCCAAAACAGCCCCAAAATGGCCCAAAATGGCCAAAAACCACCCCAAAACCGCCCCAAAATGGCCCAAAACCGCCCCAAAACGGCCCCAAACGGCCCCAAAACGGCCCCAAAACGGGCCCAAAACCGCCCCAAAATGGCCCAAAATGGCCAAAAACCACCCCAAAACCGCCCAAACCCGCCCCAAAACGGCCCCAAATGGCCCAAAACGGCCCAAAACGGCCCAAAACGGCCCCAAAACAGCCCCAAAACGGCCCAAAAGGCCCCAAAAATCCCAAATACAGCCCAAAACCCCCAAATACAGCCCAAAAACCAGCTGGAAAACCCCCAAAACAGCCCAAAAAAACCTCCAAATACAGCCCAGAACCTCCTGAAAAATCCCAAATTCAGCCCAGAACCACCTGGAAAACCCCAAATACAGCCCAAAAAATTTAAAATACAGCCCAAAACCCCCAAAATACAGCCCAGAACCACCTGGAAAACTGCAAACAGAGCCCAAAATTTAAAAAAAAACCAGCCCAAAACCGCCTG